TATTACGGTAGGAATAAAATAAAATATAATAATTCGAGCTTATAAAACGTTCGGATTTTTTTTACAACGAAAATAAAGAAAAAAATTGGAGTCTTCGGAAGCTCGAACGGATGCAAGAACACGAACGGACGGGTGCTTTGATTAGAAAACAGAGACGACGGACGAAGGGGTAGGATGTCGCCTGAGCAGTTTCTCGAACAAAAAGTTAGGAAAGCAGAGTCGCCGGAGCTTTCCTTAAGGTAGTATTGTGCGCCTCCCGCACTGGCAAACGTGGGCAATCTTCTCCCAGGATAAAACCGCAACGTGCTAAGTCTAGAGCGGTAGAATAGAGCACCAGCGAAGGAGAACGATGGGACGTTACTGCCGAAGAAGATGATCGGAAACCGGGGAATTGTTAGAAGAGTATACGTATTACAGAGTGAGAAGTTTTCGAGTGTGTTCTCTTCCTGCAGCCAAGCCCTCCTTTTATAGGAGAGGAGTTTAGCTCTTCGCTGGATCTGTCGGACATTACGAAGAGTCGAGTGACTCTTCGTTCGTAAGTTCATGCATGTTTTAACTCCCGTCACTTCGTTCACTTCGTTATTAACGAAGTGTACACGCGTGTTTGATTCGGTCCCGCAGACGCGGCGCGCGCGCCACGCCCCGCCGTGGTGCACGCGCGCGACGAGCCGGATGGACGGCGGCGGCGGCGGCGTGCGAGGAGTCCTCTTCTTGTTCCTTTCATAAGCTCAATTAAAAGGCTAAGCTTAAATATGAGAATATGAAAGGTTCAAAAACCGGTGTGGGACAAGGGTTTTTACTCTACCCTCATATTCAACTTTGAGAATTAATTTCTCATTCACCCGAGCACCGTTTATGGCGTTTAATATGTCAAGACATTCGTCTTACTTACAAGATTAAACGTCCATAATTATTTCGGAAAATAATTTTGTGGACCCTACCGAATTTATGTCCAAAAAATATCCAATTTATCTAAAATTTCCAACAATCCCCCACATGAATGAGAATTAATTCATGTAACTGGCAATAACTCTGAAGTTGAAAACTACAAGACTAGGTAGGTTTAATGCCTTTGAACCTACTCCTTGTAAAGTATACCTTCTTTACTGGTTGTTCAGTAGAACGTGATGTCTTTGAACTGCACTGCCGTTTATGTAAACGACGATATACAATACATAGGTTTCAACCAACCATCATTCCGTTCTCATGGGGGTGCCCATTAGGGTCGTGGAACACGCATCTGGTTCTGCGAGAGTGTCAGGATCAGCCCGAAATCCGTCTGTTGAAGCGACCACACTTCATTCTTACATAGGTGATTCTTCTAAGAGTATCCCGATTACTCCACTTGGACCTCGTTGTCCATAGTTCAAGAATCATTAAAGCATCATGCTAACATCATCGTTTCCAGGAGTCACTGTATCTCGGTAGGAACGAAGGGGTGTTAAGTTGGTGACCCGGCTTGCCCCTACAGTGACCATGCTTCGTTCCACAAGTAGGTTGTCCCATTGAACCCAGGTACCACCAAGGTTGGGTTTTCCTTCATGGAACGTTCCCAGCACAGGGTAGGGCTTTCAAACCCATTCATACCACTAACTTCTCATGTTGCTCATTAGTTAATCCTTTGGTTAATGGATCCACTAAATTATCCTTTGACTTGACATAGTCAATCAAGATAATACCCGTATTGAGAAGTTGTCTAATGGTTTTGTGTCTACGGCGAATGTGTCTAGACTTACCATTATACAATTTGTTCCGAGCTCATCCTATTGCTGACTGACCGTCACAATAGATGCAAATAGGAGGAACTGGTTTCTCCCAATTTGAAATATCCTCAAGTAAATTCCGAAGCCACTCAGCATGTTCTGCACACTTATCTAGTGCTATGAACTCGACTCCATGGTGGATCTGGCAATTAACGTTTGTTTTGAGGATTTTTAGGAAACCGCTGCACTGGCTAACATAGAGATAAATCCGCTTCTAGATTTTGAATCTTTATTATCTGCAATCCAATTGGCATCTGTGTACCCTTCTAGCACGGGTGGATACCTGCCATAGCATAGACTATAGTCTCGAGTATACCGAAGGTATCTCATCACTCAAACTATGGCCTTCTAGTGCTCAGTATTCGGATTGCTAGTATACCTACTTAGTTTGCTAATGGTGCAAGCTAAATCTGGTCGTGTGCAACTCATCAGATACATCAGACTTCCGATAACTCTAGCGTATTCTATCTGAGAATCGCTACTCCCTCGGTGTTTACCAAGGTGAACATTTACGACTATCGGCGTCTTAGCTATCTTTGTATCATCCTTATTGAATTTATCAAGGATTTTGTCAATATAGTGGGATTGGCTCAAACTCAGACCATCTGGTCTTCTTATTATTTTGATTCCATTGGACCCAAATCTTTCATATCGAATCGTGCGTTCAACATGTCCTTAGTGGACTTAACCATCCCGTCGTTGCTTCCAACGATGAGTATGTCATCTACATACAGACATAAAATGACATACCCTTCAGATCTGTCCTTAAAGTATACGCATTTATCCGACTCATTTATTTTAAAACTATTGTTCATCATTACCTCGTCAAACTTATCATGCCATTGTTTTGGCGCTTGTTTAAGACCATATAATGATTTCACAAGTTTGCTGACCTTCTTTTCTTGGCCCGGAACCTTAAACCCCTTAGGTTGTTCCATATAGATTTCTTCATCTATTTCGCCATTTAGAAAAGCTGTCTTCACATCCATTTGATAAACATCCAGGTTTCATAAGGATGCAAATGCGATGATCATTCTGATAGAATCTATCCTAGTCACAGGCGCGTAAGTATCAAAGTAGTCATAGCCCTCGCGTTGGCTATACCCCTTGATCACAAGTCTAGCTTTGTACTTGTCAATGGAGCCGTTAGGCTTCATTTTCCTCCGAAAAACCCATTTAGAACCTAATGGCTTACACCTTGGAGGGAGATCAACCAATTCCCACGTGTGATTCCGAAGAATAGAATCAACTTCACGAGGTTACGGCCTCGTGATAGGTTCGTGGTTCCTTTTCTACCAAACATGTTAGAATATCGGGTTCATTTTCCATTAGAAATGACAAAGTTCCTTTGTCAAATTCTATCAGATATGTTATGAAGTCAGAATCGAACGTCTTTTTAGTTCGTATTCTTTTAGCCATTCTCAATTCAGTTTCATGTTCGACTTCATCATCGTCACCGGAATTCACCTGATTTGGATCATCGTTATCCATCATCTCAGTATGAGAACGTTTGGATGAACTAGCTTCGTCACTTAACTTGCACGGAAAAATGTGCTCGAAAAACGTTGCATTCCGTGACTCTATGATTGTGTTCTTGTGAATTTCAGGATTATCTGATTTGTACACCAAGAACCGGTATGACGTACTATTGTACCCGATGAAGATTCCATCAACTATTTTTGGACCGATCTTCATCTTCTTCGGTGGTGGTGCGAGTACTTTCGCGAGACACCCCCACACTTTGAGATGCTTATAGGAAGGTTTCCTATTATGCCAAAGTTCATACGGAGTTTTGTCAAGTTTCTTACGAGGTATTTTATTTAGTAAATAATTACTTGATAAAACAGCCTCCCTCCACATGTTCTGGGGTAATCCAGAACTAAGTAGCATCGCATTCATCATGTCTTTTAGAGTGCGATTTTTCCGCTCGGCTATGCCATTTGACTGCGGTGTATACGGTGGGGTTACTTGATGCACTATTCCGTCTTGTGCACAAAACTCATTAAGTGGAGCATCATACTCACCACCTCTATCGCTTCTCAATTATTTGATTTTGTGATTGAGTTAGTTGATTTTCCACTTCATTCTTATATCGAATAAAAGTGTCTAACGTTTCATCTTTACTTTTCAGTAAATAGATATAGCAATATTTCGTGCTATAATCGACGAAGGTAATAAAGTACTTATTACCCCCTCTTGAAGGCGTTGTTCGAAAATCACACAAGTCGGTGTGAACCAACTCTAAAGGTTGAGTATTTCATTCGATCATTTGAAACGAACTTTGAGTTGACTTTGCCTCAACACAAGTTTCGCACTTGTGAGTTAAGTCAATATTAAACTTAGGAATGTGTTCCATGTTAATTAATTTCCGAAGAGATGCATAATTAACATGTCCTAGTCTACCATGCCATAAACTAGAAGACTCACACACATAAGAACATGATTTTTATTGATTTTCTCATGAACAGCCATTACATTCAGCTTTACAAGCCCATCGGAAATATAACCTTTCCCTATAAAAATCCCTTTCATGGACAAAATTAGCTTGTCTGATTCAAACACCATCCGAAAGCCGTGTTTGATCAGCAATGACCCCGACACTAAATTCTTGCGAATATCTGGCACATAGAGCACATCGTTAAGCGTTAACTCTTTGCCTGAGGTCATTTTGAGCTTAATCTTGTCAACCCCTTGAACCTCTGATTGGGCCGAGTTGCCCATCCAGACCTTGTCACCCGAGGTCTCTTAAAATTTGTGAAACATGCTCCGGTTGGAGCAAATATGACGTGTGGCCCCAGTGTCCACAAACCATTCCCTCGGGTTTGACCCGACGAGATTCACCTAGGTGACAACTGTACAGAGGTCCAAGTTGTCGAGCTCTGCGCACATGGCTTCGGTGTTTTCTTCTTGTTCTTATGTGGCTTCTTTTTCCTATAATTGGAGGAACGATGCCCGGTAATGCCACAATTGTAGCACTTCCCTGCAAATTTAAAAACGCCACCCTTAGGACCTATTTTATTTTTGTCCTTCCCGCCATGTGAAGAGCCCGACGGGTGCTCTACCACATTCACTTTTGCCCCTCCACCTCTTCTAGCAAGCCCCTCCTTTCGGATTCTCAACCGCGTGAGCAATTGCTCCAAGTTTAGCTCCGTTCTTTTGAGCTTGAGATCGGCTTGAAAGTCTTCCCAAGAGCGTGGAAGTTTGTGGATGATGGCCGCCACTTGAAAGGCCTTGCTGACGCCTACTTTCTCTTCATTGCATTTGTTGAAGATTACCGTAAGCTCCTTAGCCTGGGCGACAACAGATTTGCTGTCAACCATCTTGTAGTCCAACATCTTCCCGACGATGAACTTCTTCGTACCGGCATCTTCAGCTTGATACTTCTTGTTCAAGCTACTCTAAAGCTCTTTTGCAAGCTTTTCACCGGCATACACGGGGTACAGCGTCTCGGCCAACCCCTCGAGGATGTAGTTTATGGTGAGATAGTTATTGTGGTACCAAGCTTGGTTCACCATCGCCACGAGGGGATTGTTCCGGTCATTCTCCTGGGGAGGATCTTGCTGCAGGTACTCAGCAAATCCCAAGACGGTAAAGAAGAACGTCATCTTTTGTTGCCACATCTTGAAGTTCGTGCCATTGAACTTCGGTGGCCTTTGGACCGTACTAGCGGGCACTGAAATCGGCCCAACTGCATTGGGCGTATGGAGGAAAGGCCCATTGGACGCCCAATGAGGTCTGACAAAAGGATTGATCGGTGCGTTGAAACCCGCGTTTGGTCCGAAGTTGACCGTCGTGGCCAAAGCCATAGACGATCCGAGGAACGGGTTCGAATTATCGACGGGGTGACTCCCCGTGGGTTCGAGCCCGGGAATAGGTCGAGGAGCCGCCCTGAAGATCAAGCTCGGCATTGAGAATGATGTCATGGTGGCGCCCCCCACACTTGACCCGAAGGGCAGTGGTGAGGACCGCACAACCATGGCAACCGAAGAGGTTTCTATCGGGACTTCAGAACTCATTCCGTTGCCAAAGGAACCCGCGATGCCGAATCTGAACTCCATGAGTACTACCTTAAGAATGTTGAATATTACAGCGGGAATAAAATAAAATATAATAATCCGAACATATAAAACGTTCGGATTTTTTTTACAACGAAAATAAAGAAAAAAAATTGGAGTCTTCGATAGCTCGAACGGACGCAATTGGAAAACAAAGACGACGTACGAAGGGGTAGGATGTCGCTGGAGCAGTTTCTCGAACAAAAAGTTAGGAAAGCAGAGTCGCCAGAGCTTTCCTTAAGGTAGTATTGCCTACCTCCCGCACTGGCAAACGTGGGCAATCTCCTTCCAAGATAAAACCGCAGCGTGCTAAGTCTAGAGCGGTAGAACAGAGCACCGGCAAACGAGAACGATGGGACGTTACTGCCAAATAAGATGATCGGAAATTGGGGAATTGTTAGAAGAGTATACGTATTACATAGAGAGAAGTTTTCGAGTGTGTTCTCTTCCTGCAGCCAAGCCCTCCTTTTATAATGAAGTGTACACGCGTGTTTGATTCGGTCTCGTAAAAAGCACGCCACTTCGTGACGTGCCGAGCCGGATGGACGGCGACGGTAGCGCGCGAGGAGTCCTATTCTTGTTCCTTTCATAAGTTCAATTAAAAGCCTAAGCTTAAATATGAGAATATGAAAGGTTCAAAAACCGGTGTGGGACAAGGGTTTTTACTCTTCCCTCATATTCAACTTTGAGAATTAATTTCTCATTCACCCGAGCACCATTTATGGCGTGTAATATGTCAAGACATTTGTCTTACTTACGAGATTAAACGTCCATAATTATTTCCGAAAATAATTTTGTGGACCCTACCGAATTTATGTCCAAAAATGTCCAATTTATCTAAAATTTCCAACATTATCACAACATGTTTTGTATAATTTTTGACATATTTTTAAATATATAATTGATTTCTAAATTTCACATCACTTAACTTAAAATTGAATTCACCCAACTATCATAATCTCTTATGTTTGTATTAGCTGAGGACAAAAGGAGTACTAAACAAGGTAATGATATACCGAAAAGGGTTTTAAAAGACAAAAATAATGTATGAAATGTGGTTTCTAAGAGCATCTCCAACATTAAAGTGGAATGCTAATAAATAATAACTTTTCAAAGAGAATACTAATTATACTCCTGAACAAAGTTTATACATTAACATATCCAATTTTTATTTGTAACAAATACACTTACCATTTTAACAAACATAGTTGTTAACTTTTTTTTACACACAAATGTGAGCAGAACCGTCATCGAGAAATCAGGAACCCGATACGACACAAAAAAAATGAATCCATGTGTTATGAGTTTTGGATAGCCGTTAAAATACTAACAATGAGTTAATGGAAATAGCTTCTTTTGCGTAACAAAATGAAAGTTGTGATTATTTTGACGAATTTTTGGTTTTTTTATTTGGTTTCATTTAAACTTGGTTTCATTTAAATTTTTAAAATGAAAGTTGTGATTATTTGGTTTCATTTAAATTTTTAAAATAACTTTCTACCTCCATCCTTTCTTTTTTTATTTTACTCCACATTCCCAAAAATACTTTTAAGTAATATTTTTTCAATTCAATTTATATATAAATACAACTAAAAACAAAAAATACTACTACATAAAGTTTATAAATTTTTTACTCCCTGTGTCTCAATTTTGATTATAATTTTATTTTATCTGTCCTCTCGACAGCTTTTATTTATTTTTGTGTTTTCATTGATTATTTGGTAAAATAAAATATTTTTCACACCTCTTATTTTGTAGAACTTTGGATGTAGTTTTTTACGGGGCAAATTTTCCCAAATTCTAAGGGTCCGTTTGGTACATGAAATTGATGGAATTGGAATTGAATTGGAATTAGAATTCCATGGCATTCAATTCCATAAAATTGAATTCACCAATTCCAATTCATTTTTTGCACTATCAATTCAAAATCTAAATAATTTTTGTGCTACCAAACACTAGAATTGGAATTGAAGTCCTCAATTCTAATTCTATAATTTGAATTCCGTGTATTAAACGGGGCCTAAATGTCCTTATTTTCGTCGCAATTTGTGATGGATTAGTACCGTAGCAGATATTCCGTCGCAAAATGAACTAAATCTTGTAGTGTATTGATTGTTAATGGAGAGCAATAATTATAGCTGATCATTAATTAAGGAGTATTTTATCACACTCAAGGTTCACAAAGACACTTCTCATAAAAAAATTAATCAATCATGAAATGCACATCATTATAATATTGATTGTTTATAGAGAGCAATAATTATAATTGTTAGAATAAAGGCCCAACGCTAGAGGAGGGGTGAATAGCGTTTAAAACAAAATCGCAGGAAATTAAAACGAGAGCGTTAAAGTAAAGAGCGTAAATAAGGAGCACACCGGATTTTATCCTGGTTCACCACAACGTGTGGCTAATCCAGCCCCCCGAGAGACTCTCTCGAGCTACACTAACTCCGTTAAGCTTAAGGGTGCTTAACAAACCGATACAACTTGAGAACCCGAGTCACACGAGCCTCAACACCTTTGCTCGGAGATACCGCACTCCAAGACTTCTCACGAAGGAACAAGAAACTTCCTTCGAGTTTACAACAAGGGAACAAACTCCCTTAAAGTGTATGAAAACACTTAA